AAATTTTGAATGCAAGTTGAGTTTTTATTTCGTTTTAGATTGTGAAAATGGATATAAGAAAACAGCTTGTGTAAGACAAGGAGCCCATTGCAGGAAGGATTGCTGGATCAATGAATACGAGATGAGATGGACGCAATGTCACAGTCGAGGCTGTAGGTGAGTTGATCACCTCATCTCACCCCCACACACCTGTAGGCCCTAGGACTACGTTCAGGACTACGAGTAGTCCTCAACTACTCTAATTCAGGTAGTTCTCTGATCGTAGATACATCTGTTTTATGTTTTCCTCCCTCTCGAAGATGTTGCCAGACCTGCCAGCCCACTACCCAGTGCAGCGCCGGCCCTAACTACGGTTACTGCGTCAGTAATTGGTGGTTCTGCAACACGCCCTACACCTACATCACCCCGGCCAGCTGTTTGTCTCAGGACTGCCTGTGTTGCAAGTGGTGCCAGAGAGACCCGGGCTGCGCGGCCGTTGGTGGATATTGCGTCAGAGCCTACCAGCCCTGTACGACTGGCTACGTTGCTTTCCAGTGCGGCTGTAACGATAACAGCAACTGCTGGTGCTGTGTTCCAGGTAACGGAATGGCTATTTTAAACTGCTAAATAAATGTGAGCAATGTGGCGTTATGATTGAGTAAAGATGCACAGGTTTCGTAAAGGGGGTGAGTAGAAGCTTGATGGATCTTGCTGTTAGGAAATTTGAAGCTTGATAAGGGATACGGGTTGGATTGAAACGTCGTAAATTGGATTTTTATGTGTGTGTGTTGCTTGGATTAGTTGTTTAATTGGCAAGTTATTTATTCTGGGTGTTAAAAAAAGTATATTGTAAAACAAACGTGTGTGTTGTCATACTCATAATGAGTTAACTCGAATTTTCAATTACATTGAATAATCTTTTTTTACAGAGGCTAAACAAGCTAATTATTCATGTAATGGAACTACTACTACGTCAACTATTCCATGGAATTCATCAAACTATTCAACCCAGGAAAGAACTATCACAACTACTCAGCCGAGTTCACCCGACTATTCAACCCAGAGAAGCACCTTCATAACTACTCCATGGAGTACATCTGACCATTCAACTCAGCAAACCATCACCAGAATTGCAACATGAAAAACCTCAAACTATTAAACCCAGAAAACCACTAACACCCCTACGTAACAGACTTTCATTAAACTATACAATCAACACAACAAAATAATTGAAAAAACTATGTATATATATATATATATATATATATATATATATATATATATATATATATATATATATATATATATATATATATATGTGTGTGTGTGTGTGTGTGTGTGTATTGAATAATGTTTCAGCGTTAATGACCCTTTATAATTGTGGCCTTCAAAATTAGGCAACTAGGGTAAATATAAAACTATTAGCTCAGTTCACTAAAATCTTTCAAATAATTGCCCTTTATTTGGAGAAAAACGGAACAATTTGAATATCATTTACTTATTTCAATATATTTCTGAATAAATACACAGTTTCCCTTACACAAATTCTGTTCTAAAACCTTAAGCACCTGTTATCAGTTGGTATATGTTCTAAATCTGTGAACTTGTCAGTCAGTGGAGATTTTGTTTGGGGTGAAATGGTCCGAAAGAGGTCTGACACATAAGTGGACTGAAAGTCCGAATCAGCTTCGAAACTCAGACGACTCCAACCGGTGGAGTTATCCTTCAACAATCATGGCGGTGGATACACTTGGGAAGAACTGCAGAACTTGACAGCGGGTCAATTACTCCTGTGATAACCCCTGTGAGACAGCCAGCAGATTTGCTCCACAATTTCAGCAAAGGCTTTATGCACCCTCACCTCAGGCGAGGCTTGTGCACCACAAGTCAAGTGGACGAATTTACACCTAAACTCTTGTTCAACTATATGCACTGTTTCTCCAGTACAAGACCACCTCCAGTTCTCAACAGTACGTGGCATTTGAATCCATTGATGCGTTTTTGTTCAGAACACGATGCTAAATCACTATTAACATTTATTTACTATCGCGTCTCTAATTTCACTTCTTTGGTTTCAGAGAGATTTTAACAATTTTATAAATGCATTTTATATTTTCTCAAGGAATTGTTTACATATAAGAATATGCGATTTGTGCACATTTGCTGTTATTTCTCAGAGTTCTCTCACATATTTTGGAGTGGTTATCACATTTATTTATTCTCCAGCGTTTAATAATTCCTTCCTGTAGCCATTGTCTTCTTAACAATGAATTATTTAAATGTAAGAATTTATATAAATACTTTGAAATAAAATATATTAAACAACATGTGTTGGCTCATTGTCCAATTTCACCTTACATAAAACATATTTCCTAAAGCAGTAGTTTCCCTCTACCTAACAGGTTAATATAAACAATAATTATTATTTAGATTTTATAGAAAATTACTATTTTCTATATATGTCACTTATTTTTTAATTTTGTTTTAACATGTGTTGCGACGCCTCAGTTGTCCAACTCCGAGGAAGAAATATAGATTATTTACCTCGATTATGTGAACAGAAATATATAATATGCTTTACCACTTATAATTCTCATGAAAAGTTAAACAATATTGATAATTATATATAAACTCTACATGCAAAAGGTTATCCAAGTGGATGTAGTGTAATTAATGCTGCATGAAATAATTATGTTTTAACAATACCATACTGAGTAAATATTAATTGCCAAGATAACAATCAAGGATAAATTAGTTAAGTTAGTTAAGTTAGACTTACCACAATCAACGGGAACGGAAATATTATCAGTAGCTAGAGGCGTGTGATCTCGTATCAATCAATGCATGAAAAAGGAATGTTAAAAATGGTTTGTTAGATATTTAAAAATCCATTAAACCTTCATCTCATCCTCGGCAATATATCCGTTAGCACAAAACTCTTATCAATTCGAACTCTGCCATTGATTATGTTGACAAGAGTCAATGAAACGCGTCACCTTGCGTCAGGACACAATAAAGTTGTGTGATTACCTTTGGAGAGTTAATTTTTCAGCTTCCTTATCAAGATAAGAGAAAATTAGAAGAAAGGGGAAAGAGCCCAGTATTCAACTCTAGAGAGCACTAGTATCTTGAAAAGTATCATCATCGGTATAGCATCTCCAGATTGAACGGTTCTTGTTATCCAACCTGTCTTTTTTCTTTCAATTGTGACTGCTACTTTATTGTGTTCTTTAAAGTTAAGATGTTCTACCATGGTTAGACCCAAAACCTTTACATTGCTTTTATGTTCTGTGGTATGATATGACTGCGTTTTGAACGTGTTTTCCGTTTTTATATTTTTATATTTTCTTTTTTTTTCATAGCGCAGGAGGTGGAACATTTCATTGAATATCACATTTCTTGCAGCCCATTGAAAGACCTGATTTAAATCAGTTTGGAGATTTGTTGTGCCCTTTGTGTTGTCTACTCTCATAAAAATCCTAGTGTCATCTGCAAAAGATGATACGGTACTATAGTTTGTGTCCTTGTCTATGTCTGATATGAAAATTAGAAGGAGTACTGGAGCACGCACAGTACCCTGAGGGACTGAGCTTTTCACTGTTGATGGTCCGGATTTTACTTTGTTGACTATTAAATAGTGAGTTCTGCTAGTTAGGAAACTGAAGATCCATCTTCCAATTTTTCTGGTTAGTCGTTTTGAACACATTTTGTGCTTAATGACACCATGGTCACATTTTTCTAAGGATTTTCAAACCCTTGATCAATCATTGAGTTGATTTTGAATATCTAACAAAACCCTTGTTCCTCTTATGGTATTACCTATCAACGCAGCATATTATTGTTATTCATGAAAATATTTCTACATGTAATACAAAACACACAAAAGGATGTGGAAAGAACTTTTGACATGCTGACTTTATTTCTAATAAAAAACAAATATTTAACATGTCAAATGACTTAAAATGTATTGTATCTTTTATTTTCTTTGTTACATCATCAGAATGTATTATTTACATATTTTGCTTAGAATTTGAAAAATGAAACTTCGCAGCTGAAGTTCAAAATGATTTACAGATTTCGTGACTGACATGTAAATACAGGACAAATATTTATTTAGCCAATTACTAATAAATATTCTATATATTAACCTTTAGCTAAAAACAAGTTGGTGTGCATGTAAATTGAAGTTATACTTTGGGAGATGTATCTTAAGTTAGGAGATAGATACAAATGAACCTCACAAATGCTGCTTACAGCATTTTATTAGAAAATGAATGAAAGTTCATATACACAAATGCTAAGAATATAATCAATACCTTGTTTGTAAACTAATTATTTTCAGTATCTTTCACTGAACAATTCTAAAATACATTTTGATGTAAATGTAAATTTCATATTTACTGTGAACCAAAATCTAAATTTCCTTCCTTTTTTCAATTAGTAAGCTTTTAGCTTCAGGATCATCACTTCCATAACCACACACGGTGCAAATAATAAAACATAATAATTTAAATTGTAAACTTAGCAGAAAGAAAATATAGTGAGTGTGCAAATATTTACCTTTCATACCTATACCCAATTTCATCGTGAGAATTCAAAGTATTTGCATATGAAAAGTACGAAGAGGCATTTAACATATAAGGTGTGATATATTTCAAGAGTTCGTGAGAGGAGTTGCAGAGCAACGAATATTTTACGAAGTCGCCCAGCGAAAGAGACAACTCGTTCTCAAGCACCATAAACACTGTATCATGACACAAAATCTGTAGTCTTTCATTTCATTAGCTGGTGGTGATGACTGTTCAGTTCAATGAATCCCATGGCGTAGTGGTGGTAGTGGTTTCCTGGGATGAATAGTCGAATGAACTCTGTGGTTTAGTTGCAAGAAGGGGGAGCCCGCCAAACACACACACCGAAACTTCGACGTTGGTACAACGTTCGAACAAGTTTTAACACCACCTAACCAGTTATAACAGCCAATATAGCAAGTTGTAACAACGTTCTAATACGTCATAAACACGTTAAGCCAAGATGTAACAACTTTATTACAAGTTGTAACAACTTTATTACAAGTTGTAACAAGCTGAAAATAGAGACAGTTTCGGTTTGTGTTTCCAGGGAGGGGGTTGCAGAGGTTCCTTAGCAGGAGAACTTAGCTTGGTTTGATTCTGTAAATAAATGATTTATTAGGATTAAAATGCGAGGTAACGAATATGCCAGAGACTTCTGAAAAGAAGCATAATCCATAAATCATCAATATTCATCTTTTTCTCTTTACCTGGCACGCAACACTTGCAGCTGTTGCCATCGTTGCAACCACAGGAGAAAGCAACGTAGCCCGGGTTGCAAGTTCCTGTGGCCGTTATACAGTAGCCGGCCACGTCAGCACACTTCTGCTCTCTTCGGCACGTCTTGCAACACACACAGTTCTCAGTCACACAGCCGTCAGAGCTGACGTACGACGTCACGGAGTTGCAACAGGTCGGGTCAGCGACGCACCTGCCAGTATTTGGCCCGGATCTGCAATCCGGAGTAGCCCGACATGCCTGGCAGCAGCTACGAAAGGAAATAACGTAGATACACCACACGATCAGTAATGCAGACGATGAGTCACAATAACGTGGCTGAAGATAATGATGACCCAAGCATGAGATGAGGAGGCGACGACGTTTCGGTCTGTTCTGCACCGTTATCAAGTCGATTTATCACCATCGACTCGATACTGGTCCAAGGACGGACCGAAACGTCGTCGTCTCTTTATCTTGCGGTGTTTGATTTGGTCATCAGGATCAGTAATATTTTTAGTTCAGTTCAGAACTCCTTGTACACTGTTCAACTACTTGTACACCAGATCAGAGCTACTTGTTCACCTGTTTAGAACATGAACATACCAGCGATGGAGCGGGAAGAAACTCACCTACAGTATACACTATTACAGGGAGTCGTTGTATTCCTGTATTCTGTACACAAGCATTCCTTCCTGCAGTGGCCGCTGTGTTCATTACACAACGAGTTATTTTTCTCTCCACAATCTAAAAAAACGACAAGCAATCTGTGAATTCTTGACATTATGTTAAATTTAGATAATAATAATAATAATAATTATAATAATTCTATTTAAATTTACTGTCTACCTACATTCGAGTAATAATGTAATTACGAGGGGGTAATTACCTAATATTTACAATAACGGCATTAAACATTACAGTTTAAAAATGACTGAAAAAATATGGAGTGCAAATAAGTAATTATTATTATTAGTTCAAGAAAGAGAATATCACATAAAATATAATGACATTAGTAGTTACAAAACAAACACATTATATCAACAATGAATTGAATTAATGTTGATACAGAACGAATACAAATAGGTAAACAATAAATTATTATGTCTTACAAATTATTAACTTGAGAACTATAAACATTTCATTCTCCTGGGCTGTGAACCGTGGACCCCTGAGCCTATGGGGGTGCTCACAGTTCGAGTCTCCTACAACCCAGGTGAATAGAATGTTAATTTCCACGGAAGTGTGGATGATAATTTATATGAGAACAAAACATTGTTACGTTATTTACGGGCTCACCATAGCCCGTGCTACATGGACACTCCGTCCAGAATAGCTAAATCTTTAACAACAACAACATGTTACGTTACGGTGACCTCAGTCTGGACGTGACCAGGCCACAGTGCTCACAGGTACTGTTCGTGTCACAGTGACGACACAGGAGTCGTCCTATAGTCGTCTCCTGGAGCATGTGTCTGGGAATATACCCAGCGCATAGGTTCGAATCCGAATCACAGTTCCTGTGGGTGTGTTCTCAGAATACACGTAGAGTGAAGAGACACAGCTATAGAAATGATAGTTACCAACACAGCAGGAGCAGGGAAGGAGCATACACTTAGGAGGGAACATCAAATCACAGTTCTTTCCTCTCGATGAACAACTCCCGCCAAGCTGGTGACACCGATCCCTGAGAACAGGGAACATACACCGAGCAAGAACAGCGGTATAAGAACAAGAACAGCGGTATAAGAACAAGGGGTATAACAGCGGTATGGATAAGAGTGGACAGGAGAACACGGTGGAAGGGAAGCGAGTGGAATAATTTAAACATTAAGAAACACGGAGGAAAACTCGTAACTTGAACTAGTTGAGTAAAATATAAAAATAAAATATTAATGAGGAAATATAGCGATAGCAAGAACGGGGACATGGTGAATATACGATAATTTATTAAGTAAAATAAAACATGAAACATATTTTTATTATGAAGCAAAAATATATTACACCAAGAAAAGTTCAACTTGCTATAAAACTGTTACTTCCTGACAAGTTTTTGTGTCAAGGAATTTGCTTGTCACGATATATTTATTGAACTGAATATATTGAACGAATATATTGAACGAATATATATTGAACAGCACTAGTGTCACGAGATTAAACACGCTGTTAAGTATAATCGTTCGATAGACGCCAGAAATATGGAGTTCCGTGAAATTAAAGAGGAAATTAAAATTAAACTACTAGAGAAATTAAACTACCTTACCTTATGGTAGCACACAGAGCCTTTTCATCAATTTGTTTCAAGACGAGGGATGCTGCACTTTCCCCATCCTTCATCTCAATGTCCTTCCCATCCAGCTGGCTTACACGTTTCACTATCTCCTCTTCCCTCTCCATCTCCTCTATTCCTTCAAGCATATCCCCAAGAGCTTCCATCTTCAGCGTATCTCTCATTTCCTTCAGCACTGACACTTCATTCTTCTGTACCTCGTTCCTCCTCTCCTGTTGTTCCATTTCCTCTGCATCATCGGCCTCCTGCACTCCATCTCTCAGATGTATCAGTTGCTCCACCTTTACTCCAATATCTGCTTCCTCGTCATCCACGTTTAGAGCTCGTCTCCTTCCTTGGCGATTATTGAGAAAATGCCTTAATAGCGACAATAAGTTTTATGAATATATATATATATATATATATATATATATATATATATATATATATATATATATATATATATATATATATATATATATTAAATTCTGAAATCATCACCAACTAACAACAATTCATAAGGGATAAATAAGTCATTCTTTCCACGAGTCATACATTTTTATTTAATGGTTTGACACAGAAACGTCCAGGTATAAGGTACTAACCCCAACAGCAATAGCAAGATGAACCACAGAGATTAGTGAAGTTGTATCTACAGTTGATTGTCGAGTTGTTTGGGACACACTGACCCCAGATCCACAAGCACACGAGACTCCACGGACAGTTTAGCTGTCGTACCTCCACGGCCTTCACTTCTTCCTCCTCCTCCTCCTCGGCTCCCAACTGAAATTTTAACTCGTGTTAATGTGTAACAAATTTCCTATAATTTTGGTTTAAATATCTATATTTTTATAATGTCACGGCGCTATCTCGCGATAATTACCTTGATTACTTCATCTGATTAATATCCGGCAAACGAATCATTGCCAAATGGAAGATTTACTTCAGAAATAACTTAATTACTTCCCAGTATCACCATAAACAGGATATTAACTACCGATAGGTAAGATTCAATGTATAATATATTCAAGGACACAGATCTCTACAAGAGATCTCACCTTAGGTAACATACATAACATAACAAAGCAGTGTAGAAAGACAAGATGTTAACACATATCGCATTACAAGATAGCACTGAGATGACTTGATGCTGAGAGAGAGACAAGAAGGTTATCTGAGAACGTAGTAATAATACGTGAGGACAAACAGACTTGGACTCACCCCAGGTCGACAGACCCCAAGTACGAGGAAGAGAATCAGGCACAACAACATGTTAGTCACTGCTCCTGTTGATATTCTGAAACTCCTGTTGTTACTGATGTAGCTCATTGTGATTAATCTGTTGCTGCTGATGTAATCCTTTCCCCTTCCTGTTAAAACGATAATAATGAATCATTTTTGGTTTAATAATCCGAAGGCGGATCACTGAACCGTTGAGCCGACTTCGGAGCAAACTGTTTAACTGATATATTCGCATCTGGATCACGCAGAAGCAAAGTCATATTTTCCATAATATAAACTAACAATGTAAATGGGGAATGGATAGAAGTTTATGGAATTAAAAAACAAACTTTTTATTGCTCAGCTAAACATTTAAGCTCCTAAAAAAAAAGTTAATATCGATACACTCAAAGTCGTGCATATTTTCCAGAAAAAATCATTAAATAGTTTAACTTTTGAAGTATTTTCCTTTCGGTGATGTATGGAAAAATATGTGTTGAAAATTCCTCATTATCAAAGTTTCTATCATTAAGTCTCTATTGTATTTGTATTTGTATATGAGAGAGAGAAAGAGAGAGAGAGAGAGAGAGAGAGAGAGAGAGAGAGAGAGAGAGAGAGAGAGAGAGAGAGAGAGAGAGAGAGAGAGAGAGAGAGAGAGAGAGAGAGAGAGAGAGAGACAGAGAGAGAGAGAGAGAGAGAGGGAGAGAGAGAGAGAGAGAGAGAGAGAGAAAGAGAGAGACGGAGAGACAGAGACAGAGATACAGAGACAGAGAGACAGAGAGACAGAGAGAGACAGAGTGAGAGATAAGAGAGAGAGATAGTACGGAAACGAGAAGATCATCTCAGCTTACCTTAACTTTGATGTCTGATGTTGTGTTTACCGTGTTGGTGACCGGATGCTGTCTGTCTGAATGGGCTACGTTTTATAACCTTCTGGCCGCCTACGCTTCAGTTCGTAGACTGCTGCTCACTGACTACTGCTCGATATCACACACCTGGCCAGAACACCTGAGGTTATCTTACCTGCCATCTACCACAACTGTCGCCACCATGACGTCAATCCCACATGATGGACATCACAAATACTCTCTGTGAATTCTGCCTTCAGGCTGATATCCGCTCGCATTCAACACATCAATTGAATCATGATAATATTATTCTTAGGGGACACAAATGTATATTGTAAGATTTACCATGAAGTAATGTAATAAATGAAATTAGTTTATGGCATCACTCTCCTCACATCAACACAAGCTGACGGTGAGTCACTATAACGTGGCTCCACAGGTGTGACTGTGCACCTGTGTGTGTACAAAATATACCAAAATATGTGTAAAATATGACACACTGTAGTGTGTCATATTTTCTGTGCAAGTACAGAAGCCTGACGGCTGAGTGGACAGCGTTCGGTATTCGTAGTCCTAAGGCTCTGGGTTTGATCCCCGGCGGAGACGGAAACAAATGGGTAGAGTTTCTTTCACCCTGGTGCACTTGTTCACCTAGCAGTAAATAGGTACCAGGGAGTTAGACAACTGCTACAGGCTGCTTCCTGGAGGATGTGTAACAAAAAAGAGGCCTGATCGAAGACCGGGCCGCACGGACGCTAAGCCCCGAAATCATCTCAAGATAACTTTTTGATGAGTTTTGTAAAATTAGACAACGAATTCACTTATGACATTGAACTTGAGACATAGTCACAAATTCATTTAAAATGTTAGATATTGTAACGTAAACATATCCAAAAAATAATCGATTATACAGCATATGATATATTCATGTACATAATTGCCTTACAAAGAATACCCAAGACACATCACACTGCAATAAAGTCTTTACTCATGGGGGAGGAAAACAGTCACTTGCTTTGCATTCAAATGCAACTTAACTACATCTTTATTTATATAACTAATCCACGTGACAAAAATACGCTTTCATTTTACATATGTCGTACGCATCCACAGTGGTTGCAGATATGTTTGGTTTCATCCATCTTCCTTAGTTTGTCTTAACCAACGACTCTCAGCAATATCGATCGTATTTATGCATTTATAAACCATTTATAGACTGTTTATGACATTTATAAACCACTTTAAAACAGAAGGGTCAGAATTGTTAGAAACTTTGTTAGGATCACTCCATACAAAGTGATCCATTTTGTACACACCATTTTGGTGAGAATTCTAATCATTGTGTAGAGTTCTTCAATTGATGTATAGAGTCCTTGCATCAGTTTGTGAAGTCCTTGCATCAGTTTGTGAAGTCCTTTCAGTCATTGAGGATATCCCCAATCAGTGAGTTTAGTCCTCCGCTCATTGCCTTGTCCCTTAACCACAGTGTCGAGTCCTCTAGTTGTTATGAGACGACCTTCAATCAGTGATTGGTTTCCAATTGTTGTGTGTATTCTTCCGATCAATGTGTGGTGGAGACCTTTACTATGCCATCAGTGAGGGGGGAGGAGTTTATCAATTTGTAAGAGGTATCCATCAATCAGTGAGTGGAGACCTATAATCACAATAGGGAGTACGCCAATCAGCGAATGGAGTGAAAGTAAACTAGAAGGATTACAGCTATTGTGAATGTAAACTCGAATGATAGCAACTACTGTGAGGGTAAACAAGAATGATAGCAGCTACTGTGATACCACTGTGATAATACACACGCCTATTTTCCAAACCTTTAACATTTTTCTGATATTTTGACTCTTGATATAACATTGTTATTTGTAGCATAGATACCTATGATTTAGAGGTGTTTCTAGCACTGTTATATCTGGCTATACTTGGCGTTATATAATTTTGCTTGCTGTATTATTTTTACTTTAAGTACAGATTTGTAACATACTTGTTTTGAAGTTTTTGTTAAAGGTTTTTAAATTTTATGTGTCCGAGTTTTTATTAAATTTTATGTCTTATTATATCAATGGTTGTTTCTCGCTTTCATATATATTGAATATATTTAAATACATCTAGATAAGCTAATAGACGAAACATGATAATGACATATATCGCATGTGTAGACTAGTTAATCATGATATTAATGGTTAATTAATAATGGTAATATAATATCAGATTTGTAGGAGAAACTCTAAAGAAGAACAAGTGTCGGTTTAGTTTAATTTGCGCCAGATTAACAATTAATATCTGGCTCAATACTATGCGTTTCCACTAAAAACTTATACTCAATTACTTAACAGATGTAATTACCTCATTGTCAGAGATCTTGGGAGATCTCGTTCAGGGATCTTGGGAGATCTTGTCCAGAGAACTTGGGAGATCTCTCATCATTTCCCTAATATGTAGGAGTCTCCTTAAGTGGCCCCATGTTATTCAGTAAGTGGCCTCATGCCAGACTTGGGGGGGAGAGAGTATTAGAACTCTTGAAACCCACTTCAGGTAAGCCAGTGATTACATAGTGGCTGGTGTTCAGCAGTTTCGTGAGATGAGACATCAACGTTCAGGGGGAAACTCTGATATGTTTACATGTTAAGAGAGCATAAAATTGATGTTATTTTCTGTAATTATTACTCATCTCAACATATTATTGTGTTTACAAAATTTCCGACACAGATTACAACACTTACACTAGGATGAAAAACAAGGTTTTGCATGCAACGTTTATTTCCAATCAAAACAATTATTCAACATATCGTATGAATTAAGACTAGTATACTATTCTTATTTATGGAAAACTGGAGAGATACAGCCAAAATACAAAGAGACTGAAAAATTTAGTGATTAGCATAAATTTTGAGAAAACAAATATTTGCATATTAACTAAGTAGGTAATTTGTAATTTGATATTCATGTAAATGGAAGTTAAACTTTTGGAAAGGTTCTGGAAATGAAAATGTAGGAAAAGACATAACAAAGAGCTTAGATATACTGCTTAATATATTTAATTTCGAAGTAATTATATAAATGATGAATATTAAACCAATGCCTTCTTAGTAAATATATATATTTTTTTTTCAGCCACCTTTACTAAACAATGTTAACATGCATTTTGATATAATAATATTTGTTGTGAACCAGATTCTAGATTTTCTTCCACCATATATATTGGTAAGTTTTACCTTAAGAATGAAGACTACCGTAACCACACACAGTGCAAGATTTGAAGATTATGTGATCCCAAAACTGAACAAAAATCTTCAACTATTAAAGTAATAAAACAGTTTATTAAATGCAAATAAGAATGTATTTGCGTCAAGATCACACAAGAAAGGACGCAGGTATAATTGTCTAGACCAATGGAGAAGCACGTTACAAGAGCAGAAGGTGCCGGTTTCCAAGCTAATAGAGAACATCGGTGAGGTAAAATAGGAAGGGGTTGAGGTCTATAACATACAAGAAAATTCCCAGGATCATTAAATGACCGTGTCGTAACTTATGGAGTGGGACATCAATGGATGGAGTGGGACATCAATGGACAGAAAAAGCTGGTATTCAAGCCCACTGGAGGTGACAACAGAGGGGTTGAAGACATTGATGTCAAGGCCTAAGTAGAAAGACATCAAAAGAATTTAGAATACTGTTAATAACAGGTCCTGTGTATAGCACCCACAAGGTACGAGTTGAGTTCAAGCAAAATGAAAGAGATTACTGTTTAAGTGTGTAACAATATTGATTTTTTTACAACATTGTGTATTGTCCCTCATGGACCTTGAGAATCTTTTCCATACATGACGATTTTATTTGGTCTATAAACGCTTACTTCTCCATAACTTATCTTTGATGTTCTTTAATGAAATGTGTTCAGAAATGTTAAAAGAACAATTTAATTAGAGCATTTAATCCCTTAAAAAAATCAGTAATTTTATCTTATCTGCTAAAATAGAATTTCAGCCTACAGTATGATAGGTCTGTCTGTTAAACTCTGAACTTTCGTGTCACAAAAAGAAATCTAGAAAAAATCTCTTGAGTTCCTGCTCAACATTTGCCAGTGTCTCTCGTCACCGTATCAGTAAGTTATTCATTAAGTAAGTTATTAGGTAAATAAGTTATTCAGTAAGATGCCTCGTTGAATAACACTGCCGCATTCCTCATCAGGTATATTTTCATTTAGATTACTCATATGTTGCACATTGAATTGAGCAGTTCAACCGTTTAGTACGATTGAGTATGAGGTAAGTATGAGGTGGCACTGGTTAAGTGTAGGGTGACCTGTGACAAATGATAGGACGAATATGATCAATATGAGGATGTATTTAGTAAGTAGGAGCATTGCAACATTTCTCCAAATCTATATTCTTTCATTTTATTTGCTTATTGTGATAGTTTTTTAGTTCGATGATCTCCATGGCCTAGTGGTGGTAGAGGCTCCCGGGGATGAAGAGTCTGATGATTTCTATGGTGCAGTTGTGGTAGTTGTGGTTGTTGAGGTTGTTGAGGTTCCGTTGCAGAAAAATTTAGTTTGATTTTTCACTGTAAAGAGATGATTTAATTGGATTACAATGCAAGAAAATGAATGATGAAAAATGACACGCCATGTGAACGTTATTTGCTAGACTGTGTAATGATCAGTATCAATAAACTCCAAATTTTGTTGACCAGACCACACACTAGAATGTGAAGGGACGACGACGTTTCGTTGAATCGACTTGAGAATGGTCCAGGACGGACCGAAACGTCGTCGTCTCTTCACCTTCTAGTGTGTGGTCTGGTCAACATACTTTAGCCACGTTATTGTGACTCATCGCCTCCAAATTTTGTTATCGTTATTTGATTAGTTTTTGAATCATATGTTACTACCGCCCTCCAGAACGGTGCTTACCTGGCACGCAGCACTTGCAGTTCTTACTGTCATTGCAGCCACAAGGAAAAGCAACATACTTCGACTTGCAAGACTTGGATTCCGCCACACAATACCCATCAACGGCCTGGCAGTTCTTCTCTCTTCGGCAAGTCTTGCAACACGTACATTTTTCAGACACACAGCCGCCCGGGGTGATGTAAGAGTCTGAAGATCTGCAACAGGACGG